CGCACATACATACATACACACGCAACCCACACCTGTCGGCCCCCCTGGTCCAGCTGCAGCTGGAAGTCCCGTAACAGCCACACGAAAGCCGGGGACACCTCCGAAACCAAAGTACGGCCACCCATGCCGTTGCTACCACCGCCATCACGTCCTCCTCCGCCGCCGCCGCCGCCGCTGCCGCCATTATTTGGGTTTGTGCTGCCAGCAGCATTGGTGGCGGCTGACGGCGCCGCTCCGCCGCCGCCGTCTGGCAGCCGAGGTGGACGACGTGGGGAAAGTGGTGGGGCGGGTGATGGTGGAGGATGGTGGTGGAGGAGGATGGTAGCGTATCCAGGGGGAAAATAGAAAATGAGAGGTGAAATAAATAAACAAATAAATAAACAGATGAACACAAGTGATGGTGTGGGTGATGAAAAACGGTTGTACTCGGTGTACGTACACACCCATAAATACGGACCCAAACCGGGAGACGCGTGTACGGCCCCGCGAACCCTCGGCGGCCGCGGTTTTTTTTTCATTTTTGCCTGTCAATTTTCCAGTCCAAACGGAGGAATAGGTTTTTAGTCGCGGGAATAAAAGTATTCCGAATCTGTAAGGCTACGCCCCCCCCAGACCCCCCCCATGAGTTATAATTTAGTTCGTACAAACACAGGGGTTGGGGAATGTCACAACACACGCACACCACAATCGCTCCTCTTGCACGCCAGGAAGCGGGGGGCACTTGGACGCTTTGACAGGAACCCCGGTTGCACGGGCGACTGCTGTTGCAGGGCCCAAGCAAACACAGACCAGTTAACCCCTACTCAAGCACTGATCAAACAGAGTTCGTTCACCGTCGTTCGTTTTGCAACACGTTGAAAGATAACACTACTCGACTTTCCAGATTGCAAAAGTAATGATGCATAGCAGCAATGAACCAGAACCGCCAAACGCAACCTCTGCGGTTGGTTGCAGCCCCTGCTGTTGATGCTGCACGCTAGTTAGCGGTCCATCATGTACCGGCCCCTTCACAAGCCCTTGCGTCTGTGGTCGGGGCGTCTTTGCGCCGCGGAGTGTGGGGTTAGGAGTCTTAGCTGCAGCGCCGGGGTTGCTGCTGCCATCGACCTCGATGCCCGTGTTTCCTGGCCCATCGCGATTGTCTTCGTATGAAGAACGTTGACGTTTGGCCCTCTCGCTGTTCACAACCGGAGTGGCGTCATTGTTGTCGGTTGGCTGCAGCATTGCGTCCTCATTGCCTACGACCTCTAAGCCGTCTTCATTAACGTCGCTAATGGCTTCAGTGAAGTTTAATATCTGCTTTAATGGCCTTCCACGTTTTGGGAGCTTCGGGTCCGAATATTTTGCAGCGTTTGGTCCGGTCAGAAACAGCCCGATTCCGCGTTGACTTTCGGGCGTGACCTTCCTAATAGCCAGTTCACATGCTACGTTACGTTGAAACTTTTTGGAAAAAGTGGTCGGTTCGGACGTGGTAACGGTACGTTACCGGTAAAGTGGACGAAAAGTCTAAAGTGACCAGGGGGGGGGGGGTCAATTTCGTCAAACGCTGACCCCTCGTACCGTTACTTGAAATGCGTCGCCAATTTCGCGAGTTATAACAAACGGCCAAGCCCAATCGGTTATAAAGACCACATACTTGACAAATTGTGCGCGCTTTGCACTCCGACTGAATTTCTAGTCACACCGCTGCCTTATATTATAAAAATGAACAAGGACAACGCCGCTCGTGTTGCTCGACCGCTCACGACCGCTTACATAGCCAATATGTAACCCATTGTAGTATCAGGGCTGAAGCCACCCGCGAAACGGCAAGTCGGCCGCACTTCCGGCGGCATGGGCCGCGCCGCGTCGGCCCACACGCTCAATCTCTGCCACTGAGCATTGAACATATCTTCAAGATTATCAAAAATTTCATCCAGCGCGACCGCTAGGGCAAACGCCATCGCGGCTCGCGCGGGATGCAGTGCGATTGCAGTAGGCAGGGCTGCCAATCACCCTTCAAATATACCTGCAA